ACGAGATGAGGCTTTTGAAGATAAAGAAATGAAAACAGTACTCACCTGTATTTTCTTGCAACAGGATGCAAAGTTAAATCATCTTCAATTATTATGATGCGGCAGCATCGATGGGTGAGTGTCCGAGCGGGTGGGAAAGGGAGAGTGCGCACAGCACTGCTCTTCTTTTAGTTTTGGTTAAATACCTGATTTAATCCCTTAACTTTTATTTTTAAATCAAATCTATCCTTAAACTTTCAAATTTACTAAAAATATCCTCGAACTTCAATTTTTTATCCTAATTCTGTCCTTCCATTAACAAATTGACAGGTGGCAAGTTAAGTTGCGAGGAAATCAATTTCTTCGAAAAAAATAAAGATACGGAAAAGAAATAAAGCTTTTTTTTTTTACAAGTTGATATTTTTTTCCACATCAACCAAAAAAAAAAAAAAATAAAGAAGCAATCTTCTTCTTCCTCTTTCATTTTCCCTGCCCCCCTCTCTATTCTTTTCCCCTACCTCTACAAACCCTAACCTTGCTCATCCATCAAATACACAGATGTTGTTCCCAATATTGACATAATTTTCCTCAAAATCTATTACTCTTGTATAACCAATTTCTAAAGTCACCCAATCAAACTGCATTTTTGCAGAAAAAGAAAAGTCACCTAATAAAACACAAATCATATATTAAATGTAAAGTTCTAACCAAAAACCTCAAAATTCATCTTCTTCTTCCTCTTTCTTTTTCCTTCTCTCTCCTCCACATCCTTCTCCTTTCTCAAATTGGATGAAGAACCATGGGTTCTCCAAGAGAACCCAAATCAACTCAGGGAGAACCCAGATCTGGGTTCTCTTGTTCAATAGATCAAGATGGAGGGAAGAGGAGGGGAAAGAGAGGAAGAAGAAGAAGAGTGAAGCCCTTATCGGGAAGCCATTGGATTTGGAGATAAAAAAGCCATGGGAGAAGGGAGAAAGAGAAAGGAAGGAGGAGGAAGGAAGAGAACTACATTGTTGTCGCCATTATTAGTCATTGCTATTGCCATCACCATTAACATTGAAGAAGGAGAAGTTAGCAGTGAATGAGGGTAAAGGGTGTGATGGCTTGGAGCTAGAGATTAGATTTAAGGTTTATAGTGTTTATAAAATGTATATAAAGAGTAGTAAAATGGTGAGTATTTAGAGTTAGAATTAAAATTTAGTTAAAATACCATGTAAAAAGAAAAAATGTGACATCATATAAGTTTTTTTTCACATCATTATTTTTTAAAGAAAGGTTGTAATTTTCTGGCAATTTAACTTGTTAACTATCAATTCAATTAATGGAAGGATCTAGTTGGTCCTAAAAATTAGGGTTTGAGGATACTTTTGATATTTTTTTTAAAATTAAGGATAATTTTAGTTTAAAAATAAAAGTTTAGGGACAAAATCAAGTATTTAACCTTTAGTTTTTTTATCGATACAATCGACAAAAAGATGAGAAAGATAGGGAATAAAGGACAAAGGTGATGGGATGGCGAAGTGCAAGTTTACTTTTAAATTTTTAATTAGAAAAAAGTGCTTTACTGTATTTTTTTAATTTTTTTGAAAAATATGTTTAAAATTTTGTTTTTAATTAATATTTATAAAAATTAATTGTTAAATTAAAAATTTTATTTATATAAATTATGTATATTAATTTTTAAAATTTTCTAATAAATTTAATTATTTCATTAATTATAAAAGATGCAATATCATTAATATATGTCAATAAATAACGTTTTTATTAAAAAATTATAAATATTAGATAAATATACAAATTAAGATACATAATTTACATAAATAAAATTTTTAATTCAATAATTAATTTTTAAAAATATTAATTATAAAAGAAATTTTAAGACAAATCTTTAAAAAAAAAATTTCAAAAAGGTCTATCTTATACTATTCTTATTTAATTATGTGTTGCTTTATTTGAGTTCTGTTGTAAAAATAAGTTATCTCTAAATTAATGGTATCAACAATAAGTTCAAGTTTTGATTTTTAACTCAATTTTTAATTCATCTAGCATACGTTCATAAAAAAAAAAAAAAAACCCAATTTTTGGATTATTATATCATTGTCTTTTGTTTAATTTAGTTGCTATATTTTATGTATTTATCATTATAAAAATTTTATTTATTACAATAATTAAAATTTATTATTTTATTTTTATCCTTGTTTATAATTAAACCAATTATAAAAAAACACTAAACACATTTTCCAAAAAATAAAAACAAAATTAAAATATTAATATTCAACATTTTATTAAAATAAAATGTAAAACCACTCAATAAGTGCGGAGGGAGTACACACACACATTACAATAGAGATCCATCCCTTGTCCATGATTCATGTTTGTTTTCCTTTTACATGGCATGTGTTTTGATTTGGAAATTCAGGGAGCAAAAGTTCATATAAGCATGTGAATTTTATTATTTTTTTATTTAAATATATAAAACTTTAAAATTTTAAATTAGATTGTAAATTTTTATGTTTTGTTTAAAGATAGAAATTTTATTTTTTTATTTAAAAAAACGAATTTTGTCATATTTTAATTAATATTGATGTTTGCCTCATCATCGCTATCAGCCTTAAATGGAAAGAAGGCAAAATTTGCATATTTATTTTTTAAAAGATTACAAAATTCATATCCTTATTTAGAAAAAATAAAAATAAAAGTTTACAACTTAATTTTAAAATCTTAAAAATTCATATCTTTAAATAAAAAGTAATAAAATTGGTGTTGTTATCTCACTTTTTTTTGAAAAGATAGTTCTTATACTTTGTGAAAATGTTCATTATCATGCCTCTACTAAGGAAATGTTCAATGTCATCCCTCTACTTTCCTCACAACATAGATGTCATCCCTCTACTACACTTTCTTATTCAATGTCACCCTTAATTGGATGCATCCACATTTTCATTAATTTTGACCATTAATAATTAATTGCCCAGCAGTCAAATGTTCAACTTTTGTTTATTAATTTTTTATCCACCTAATGGGACCACTGGGACTAGTGGGATCAGTGGGACTAGTGGGACCAATTCCTTTTTTTAATTTTTGGTTATGTATTATTCTTTCTAGCTTTAGCTCTAAAACTAACGAATTTCGTTAACTTTTTATTAAAATGAGAGTAAAATAGTTATAGGTTCAATTCTCAAAGATTAAAAATATAATAATTTTGTTTCAAAAGTTTAAAAATTAAATAAATTAGTAAACGAAAAAAATTAATAGATGACTTTTTTACATACACTAGAATAATATTAAATATTTTTAATCAAATCGAGCGATTAACTTAATTTGAAGAAATAATTTTGACTGAGATTAAAAAAATTTCAAAACTAAATTAAGGTAAAATTCAAGAGACTAGAAAAATATAGTCAAAAAATTTTCTTTAATCTTAGTTATATATATTTTTTAGATTAAATCAATCACTCGATTTAATTATAGATATCTAATACTATTATCATATATGTGACAAATGCATCCACTAATTATTTTTTAATTTTTGAACTTTTGAAACTAAACTATTA